ACAGGTCTGCCCAAGATTGCTCAGACCGCGCAACCCGAGACCTGCACATGTGCACACGCCAGCAGTGGTGAAGATGTCAGCAAATTGTGGCAACAATGTCGCGCTCGGTTTTGCGCACTCAACACACACATGTGAACACACACGCATACACACACACTAGCACACACTAGCACACACTAGCACACACACACACACACAATACACACATGACGCACACGCGACACAGCACTGACCAAAGTGGGAGTGGGACGAGAGGATGGTGTTTGCCTGTGGCGGTGGCGGCGGTGTGTACGATTTTGGACTTCCAGACGACAGCGACGCTGGAGAGACAGATGTGTTGCGCCACTGCTCCCGCTTGTGCTGGTGCGGCAACGACGACGACGACGACGGTGGCGGTGCACTGCTTGTTTCTTGCTGGTGGTGCTGGTGGTGCTGGTGGTGCTGGTGGTGGTGCTGGTGGTGCTGGGAGTATGGGTTGTGGCGGCGGCTGTTGCTGTTGGTGGTGCTGTGGGCGTTGTCTGCGCGCGTGATGGCAGCAGCGTCGGCGAATGGGGTTGAGCCATCAAGATTCACCGGTGCCTCGTACTCATCAGCACGGTGCTGTTGATGCTGGTGATGGTGATGGTGGTGATGATGATGGTGCAGGGATGCGCTTGTATCTGACCCTGCCCCGCTGTCAGCGTTGCTTGTTGTGCAAAACACACGCAGGCCGTCTTTGCTGTCGTGGGAGGACGACGAGCAGGGGCGGTGGTGGCCCCACGTGTGCGGACACGGGAGCAGACCACACCCATCTGAGTTGTAGCGGCTGCAGGTCTGCAACACGGTGTCATCGCACAGGTTGTACGGCACATCCTTCGCCAAATACAGCCTGGGTGTGTGTGGGTGTGTATGTGTGTGTATATGTGTGTATATGTGTGTGTGTGTGTGTATGTGTGTATGTGTGTGCGTGTGTCAGAGTCACCTCGCTCATGACAAGATGCACATGTAAAAGCGCCACTCACACACACACACACACACACACACACACACACACACACACACACACACACACACACACACACACACACACACACACACACAGAGCGCTCACTCACTCACGTACACGTGGCATCACAAAGAGGCTTACGTTGCAACTTCGATGGCGTGTGCGACAATATCGCTGTATGTGAAATCGGCACAGCTGGCGCAGAAGAGCTGGCGGTGATCTGGGGCGAGGAAGAAGCTGTGGCCAGACTGATGCATGTGGTCCGCGTAATGGTGCAGGCAGGTGATGTGGACGCAGTCAAGACAGATGAACGTCATGTGCTGTTCTGCGACGTTACACGTGTCACAGGCGACCGGTGGGGACCACGACCGCCCGCCCCCACTGCCACCTCCAAAGGCAGCGGGGGCGGCTCTGCTGTTGCTGTTACTGTCCGTGCGGAAGGCGAGAAGCGACGACATGTCGGATGCGTGCGGAGTGGCGCTCTGGGCCCTGGACGGGGGCTCGCTGTGTGCGGGCGGCAGGAGATCGCTGAGCCCATCAATCCCAAACAGGTGGCAGGAGGCGGGCTCGAGCAAATCCGGTGGAGGGGAGTGCGCATGCTGGTGCAGCGACGATGTGGGGTGGTGTAAGTCGGCGCTGGCGGTTGCACGCGCCATCACATCGTCGTCGTTGATGGAGGAATTGCCCAGTGTGTTGGCCGCGTGCGCTGCTTGCACTGAGGGCTTCAGCAAATGAACGTAAGCCTTGAGCACGTTGATGGCCTTTGGCCGCTCACATGGTTGGAGATGCTGGCAGGCCATGACCGCACTGCTTTGTGCTCTTGGTCTTCTTGTCTTTTCCCTGTCTTGTGCTGCGCACGTGGTGTGTGTGTGTGTGTGTGTGTGTGTGTGTGTGTGTGTGTGTGTGTGTGTGTGTGTATGTGTATGTGTGTGTGTATGTATGTGTGTGTGAAGGGGGGGGGGGTATTGTTGTATGCGTGTGACTCCGTATGCGTGCGCAACCCAGAGTGTGTCAAGTGTGATGTATCTGTGTGCTGTTTGGTTCGTTGCAGTTTGCACGCGTGTCACACGCTCCCTCAACCAAGTGCACAAGCACTGAGAGCGCGCACGTGTGTGTGCGTGTGTGTGTGTGTGTGTGCGGTGAAGTTGCTGAAGCTGCCGCTGAGTGTGGTGGCTCGCGATTTGGGCTGCCTGGCTAACTGGAGCGACGAGCAACTCGTTTGCTGCTGCTGCTGTCGTGTGCGGTAAGTGTTTGTGCGGGTGGTGGAGGACACGGCGAAGGCACGACAGAAACGATTCCCACCCCAACCAACGCAACCGCGATGCGAACACAATTTATCCTGTCGCTTGTTTCGCTCGCAAGCAACGCGCATCGTCGCCAGCCAGCAGCCAACCGCCCAACCCAAGCCAACAGAATAAAACAAACAACCACAACGCATACAAATACAACAGCACAACTCACCTCCTCCCCCCCCCTGCCTTCACCTGCACCTGCACCCCACCCCCTCCCCCTCCCTAAACCAAAGAAAGATTATAAAAATGGGCCAGAGGGCAAGCCGGGATGCGTTTGATCCATCCAAGTCTGGACCAGCAAACATTGGGCAGCAAGGAACATGGAGGCCGCGGGAACAAGTCACCCGTGCACCAACAGTCGGCAGCGCACGCACATCCGTCGTGCTCAACGCCAACAACACTGACGACGACGTCGTCTCTGTCCGCTCCTCTGTTGCAGCCAGACACGACCCAAAACAACAGCACCAGCAACAACGGCAGCAACAACAACAACAACAACGCGATGGCCAATTGAAGAGGCTGGCCCCAACACAACAGCAACGCCAAGCTGAGCTGGCAGCGCTGCCATCGCACTTGGAGGGCAGCATCGAGATTCGCCCCTTGGATGTGACCGCGTTCGTGGACCTGCCCTTGCGCGCATCAGACCCTTCAGATGCAGCGCTGCACCCGGACTGGAACCGGTGGAGCAACATCTTCCCCAACTACGTGAGCCAGGTCCTGCTGCACCCTTCAGACATGACATATGTCAACGCCAGCTGGGTCCGCAGCTACTCTCCAGACAAGGCCTGCGAATACATCGCAGCAGAGGTGAGATCACACCCTCACTGTGCGTGATGCTGTGCGCTTCGCTTGTTCGTTCATCTTCATCCTTGCTTATTTGCTTGCTTGTTTGCTTGCATGCAAGCAAAACACTGCAATTGCGCTTGCGTTGGTATTCCGCATGTTGCCATGGGCTGTCGGGTGCTGCCATAGCTGTACTTCTGTTGTGCCTCACAGTCGAACACAACCACACACGCGCGTGTACTGCACTCTCTCATCAACGCAACCGCACCCTCTGTTCTTTTCCTAGACACCGTCGCTGACGACACTCCGGCCGTTCCTGCAAATGATTTGGAACCACAACGTCGGCTTCATGGTGCTCTTGGCCGAAATTGGACAGCCTCATGGTCAAAAGTATTGGCCAAGCAACGTGAGTGTGCTCTCCTGGCTCACCCGCCTCTCCAACCAATATGATGACGCTTACGCCCATTTGCACAACTAACAAACAGACAAACAGTTGCACACGTGCGGCACAAACACATGCACAACGTATCCCCCAGAGCACACATTCAATCAGCCGCTGTACGTGCAACCAACTCACCTCCCCCTCCCCTCCTTCTCACCTCACTCTCGATTACGTGCAGGTCAATCAAACCATGCATATGGACGACATGTCTGTGACGCTTGCGGAAGTGGATGACAGCAAGGACTGCTACGACCGGCTTGTGCTGGACTTTGAGCACGCCTCGGGTGCTACGCGCGAGGTAGTGCTGTACTGGTACCACGCCTGGCCCCCCGCCCCCGGCGGCGTCCCTGCCACATCAGATGGCGCCCGCATGTACCCGCGGCCGCTGGTGGAGATGATGCTGACGGTGCGAGCAGATCGACGCAAGACAGACCGGCGCCGCACGCCGCTGCTCGTGCACTGCAACGACAGCGTGTCCCATACGGGCGCCTACATTGTCTTGGACCAGGCATTTGACTGCATTGAGGAAGGGCAGCCTGTGGATGTGGTGGATCTTGTGGCGCGCAGCAGGGAGGATCGCATGGGTATTGTCAATGCAACCGCGCTCGCTCGGTTCGTGCAGGAAGCGGCACTCCAGTATGCATTCTACTTTCTCAAGTCGCATCCCGAGACGCCAGGGGTCGTCTTCATGCGCACGCCCGGCAACACGCCGAAGCACCAGCTCGAGCAGCGCTTCACAAAGCACAGGTGTGTGCCTGCGTGTGCGCGCGCGTGTGTGCGTATGTGAAAGTGAGCGTGAGAGAGAGTGTGTGTGTGAGAGCTGATGTGTGCTGTGTTGTGTGTGTGAAAGACATTGTGTGCTGTGTTGTGTGTCTGCGTCTGTGTCTGCGTCTGTGCCTGTGTCTATGTCTGTGCTTTGGGTTTGTTTCCTGTGCTCACACGTTGTGACGACGCCGTGTATTTTGTTGTTTGACATTGTCAGGTTGGAAGACGGAACGCAGGTGTTTGTGCTTCTCTCCGTGGAAGACCCGCCGGCAGCGTCTCTGCCGACAGACAAGCTGGTGTTGACCCCGCAGCCATTTGACGACCACGACGGCCACGATCTTGCGCACCACATGGCCGCAGACGCATCCATGCCGCTGCACATGCAGCCATTCTTCAAGTCCAACTTCAGTCGCTCCCAGGTGGAGGACCTGTTGAAGAAGAGTGCAGAGGCATCGTTCCTCGTGTCGTCGTCGGCACTGCGTCCAGACAGACTCCTCCTCTCCTGCACCAGCGGTGGACGCGTGTACCACACGCTCTTGCACCATCGCCGCAACGACGGGCATGGGGAGGCTGCGTTTGCCGTGGATGTAGATGACGACACACTCACGTTCCCAACAGCGGTCGACGCTGCGGCGTGGCTGATTGGCGAGGTGCAGGCTGCACAGCACGACGGCACGCAGGCGGAGCATGGGCAGGGGATAGGAGTGGTTGCTGCTGATCTGCACGAGCTTCGGCTTGATGATGATGACGGCGATGGCGAGGAGGACATGGACGGAACAGATGCGTGATGATCATGATGACGAAAATGATCACGATAATGATCATGATGATCATGATCGTGATGATGATCATGATGATGCTGTCAATGACAACCACTACAACACCACATATGTTCCCACTCGCTTATTGCCGCCAGCCCACGACGCTTCAACCGCACTCGCATACACCACGCATGTTTTTGCTCGCACATTCATTCGTTCATTCACCCCAGCCAGAGTCATACGACAGCAGTGAGCAGAGCCACCACAACCAGCAACAACAACAACAACAACAACAACAACAACAACAGCCACATGAGGACGCAGTGTCGTCAACAACAGCAGCAACAACACAAAAGTAGAAGGATTCACCCACACATGCATGTTTTCGCCCACAGTCAACCGTACACACGTGACACCACACCACCCACCAATACAACCCACGGCCCTACAAAGTGTAACACCCCACAGCAACAACAAAAACAACGCGTATGTGCTTGCACAACCACATGTGAAATGCGTGTGCATTTGCTGTAAATGCTCTATGTTCTGCGTGTGCATGATCCGTGGTGCTTGGCTCAGTCCCAATACTTGATTGATCCGTCCCAGCTGGCGGTGGCGACCTTGGAGGTCTCGTTCGGGTTCCACGCCACGTCGATGCACACCTTGTCGTGCGCCTTGAGCTTTCTGCTCGCGGCGCCATCATACACACCCACACCCACACGCGCACAGAGTGGACACCAATAAACCAAAGAGGGGACAACCACAGGGGGAGATGCATTGTTGTGGTGAGCGGGACGCGGTTGTGTGTAAAAACGGTCAAACGTACAGACGACGGGGAAGCCAGACACGCACAACAACACCACCAACACCAACAAACAACACCAAAAACACCAACAAACAACACCAACAACAACAAACAACACCGACACCACCACCAACAAACACCACCAGAATCGCCACTCACGTGTAGAGCTTCGTGGTGCGCCAGTCCCAGATGCACAAGTTGCCGTACGCATCGCCGCTGACAACGTATGTCCCGTCGGGCGAGAAGTGCACCCCGCACGCGTACCCAGCAATAACGTGACCTGAGAACACGAGACGGCAGTGGAGATGGAGCGATGGTCGGCAGCATGGCAAGAAAGAGAGAGTGTGTGCATATGTGTAAGTGAGTGCATGTGTGAATATGAGTGCGTGTAAGTGCATGTGTGAGTGTGTAAGTGCATGTGTGAGTGTGTGAGTGTGCCTGGCTGTGCGTCTATATTCGTGTGCAGACGCACCAACAAGATGAACACCAACTCACCCTTGAAGATCTTCTTGCGATTCTGGCGGAAGCGATCCCGCGCGCCAAACACGAGCATCTGGTTGTCCAAACTCTGCGCAACCATGTACTTGCCTGCAGGCAGTGTGTGTGAGTACATGTGTGTGTGTGTGTGTGTGTGTGTGTGTGTGTGTGTGTGGTGTGGGTGTGGTGTGTGGGTGTGGGTGGGTGGGTGTGTACATGTGTAAGAATGTGTGTGAGGCGAAAGGCAACGTTGTGTTGACAGACGGCTGCAAGCAACAACCAGCAGAGCAGCACACATGTGCATGCAGAAAATAAACCGCCACCACCATCACCACCGCCACCATCACCACCATCATCACCACCATCATCACCATCCCGAGCGCCGCACCGTTGGGGTGGACGGCAACGGAGGGCATCGAGTGCATGGACGGATCTGCAATGTACTTGATGTCCACAGGGATGTCCCACTCCCACACGCGCATCGACTTGTCGTCGGAGGTGGTCACCATGCGTCGGCCTTCCTCCACAAACGTGATCGTGTTCACCGCGCCAAGATGCCTGCAGTCGGGTGTTCGCACGGTTGCGAGGGAGGCGGGAGGGTACGTGAGGGTTGTGGCGTGAGTGACAGTTGATGGAGATGAAATCTGTGGGCCAGAGCAATCAACAGACAAGCAAAGACTTACGCACATACACACACACATACACACACACACACACAAATGCACACACACATGCACACACATGCACACACACACACAAACACACACACACACACACAAACACACACACACACAAGTATGCGCCCGCACCTGTCGTATTCCTGGACAATATCGCCAGTGTTGGTGTCCCAGCAGATGATTTTCTTGTCCGATGTGCCGGCAACAAAGAGATGCTGCTTGTCTTCGCTCGGGTGGAACTTGACGCAATATGGAACGTGGCGGTTGGTGAAGTGCCCGAGACACTCGCCCGTCTCCGTGTCCCACAGGCGAATGAGCTTATCGTATCCGCAGCTGAGGAAGCGCGTGCCGTCGTTGTTGAAGGCAATGTCGCGCACACCCTGCAATGGTGGTGGTGGTGGTGGTGGTGGTGGTGGTGGTGGTGGTGGTGGTGGTGAGACGAGAGACTCAAACACACAGGTGGAAGACACGCACGCATGCATATGCACGTGCACATACACAGACATACGACAAACACACGCACGTACACAAAAGCATACACGTACACACGCACATATACACGCATATACACGTACACATGCACACACAGCGTACATACATACATACAGCGAAGAGAGCACGCAACGAACCGCTGTGTGGCCGTGGTATGTGCGGATGAGCCTGCGCTGGCCATACACCTCCCACAGCTTGATCTTCCCGTCCATGCCCGCAGACAGCAGGAGGTGCGCCGACACGGGGAAGAAGCGAATGGCAGCAACACCCTTGGGGTGCCCCGGCCACGTGTGGATGAGTTTCTTTGGAAGGAAGCACTTGGCTGGCGCCTCGCCATACTGCACGCAGCCGTGGTGTGGTGTTCGGTTGTGTTGGGGGGGGTTGAGTTGGCCGTGATGGTGTATCAGTGTGAGCACGTGCTTTTGGTGTGTGGAAATGTGAATGTGTGTGTGTGTGTGTGTGTGTGTGTGTGTGTGTGTGTGTGTGTGTGTGTGTGTGTGTGTGTGTGTGTGTGTGTGTGTGTGTGTGTGTGTGTGTGTGTGTGGCGAAGCAAACCCAGATACAACAGGTGCACCACCCACGCGGCAGCAACTCCCATTCACAAGCGAACAACACACACACACACATGCACACAAACACACACACACACACACTCGCGGGTGCATCAATGCATGCAGGCAACGGACCTTGATGCCCTCGTGTTGCGGTGGATGGAGGAAGGAGCGGCCCTGGTAGTCGTACGCGTCCTTGACTGTTGACACACACGCACACATATGAAAAGCGCACGCGCAAGCATGAGCACACATGTGCAAGTGGTGAACAATTCATGTTTCTGGAAGGGGGATACAGCGGCAGCAACAACAACAACAACAACAACAACAACAACAACAACAACAACAACAACAACAACAACAACAACAACAACAACAACATCATCATCATCATCCTTCTTGTGTTCACCTGCAACAACAACAACAACTACTACTACTACTACTACTACTACTACTACTACTACTACTACTACTACTACTACTACTACTACTACTACTACTACTACTACTACTACTACTACTACTACTACTACTACTACTACCGAACGCACTGTGGAGGGTGGAGTGTTCCTTTGCCTCCTTCTTTGCCTTTTGGGCCTCATCAAGGCTCGCGTCGCCCTGTTCGCCCTTGCGCTTCTTCGCGTACTCATCAAGCACAGCCATCTGCTCCTCAGACGGCTTTGCAACGCGTGTCTCGCCCTCAAAGTCCGCCCAGGGGCCTGGTGACGGTGGTGGTGGTGAAGACAATGATGATCGTGATGATCGTGGTGGTGGTGAGCAGGTGAAGCGGAGTGTCAGCACAAGCCACAGCAGTGCGCAACCAAGTTTCAATAGCGTGCTACCAATCAGGTACAGAATCACAGCAGCAGCTGTGACGATGACAACCACAGGTACATTCAAATGCGCACATCCGCAACACCAAGCCGCAGCAGCATCAAGGGGAAAAACAGGACACCGCCAACGCCAACACGTGAGCCGTGATCCCACGTGCCAAGTGGCCGCAAGCACACGCACCCATGTAGTCGTCGATATCGCCTGGGTTGCCCTTCTTCTTGCGGCGGCGGCGGGAGCGTGACGCCTGCCCCGTTGCCAACGTCGCGCCTTGCTTGGCGGATGCACTTGACACATCACCAATGAACCTGTGTGGTGCGTGTGTGTGTGTGTGTGTATGTGTGTGGTGTGTGTGGTGTGTGGTGTGTGTGTGTGTGTGTGTGTGTGTGTTGTGTTTGCACGCAACGCGCGGGCGGGCGGAGATGAGGATGGTGTAGTCACGCGAAGGTATGTCGTCATTTGCATTCATCGGTGGAGTGAATGCAACGTAGGACATACATAAATGCAGATGTGTGCACCATGTGACAAACACGTAGCACGTGCGCACATATGCAAGAAAACACAAGCACACACACACACACACGCACGACACACAAACGACACACACGCACACAAGCACACACACACCACACACACACACACAAAAGCACACACCCACACACACGCGCGCGCGCGCGCCACTGACCGCTGCGATGCGACGTGTGTTGAGACGCTGGGGTCCACAGCGTAGCCTACCACCATACACAGGCCGAGTACACACCATGACATGCGCAGGCTTCAGTGGCAAGCGAATTGCAGCGGTGCACACAAAAGGCACGGGTACGACGTGGACACAAGCAGGCTGAACCACATGCAAGTACATGCAAGTACACACACACACACACACACACACACACACAC